CAGAGGATTAATAGTTTCATTTACGTCTGAACACAATGGAAGGCCTTGGGCAGAAGAGCCCCAAAGGCAAGCTCTGTAGTCCTCTAAACCAATGGTTGTCCGGACAGTCACAGCCATAGCCACAGCTCAGGAGCACGTAGTACATACCTTCTGGAAGCCCAGGCCTCAAGGACAAGTAGGTCAGGGATCAAGGGTCAAGTGCTAAAGTGACCTGACAGTCACAGAAGCAAGTACCCGGAATCTCTGGACTCCTGCCTCACTGCTAGGTGAGGTGTTGAGGCCACCTTCTGGGGGCCCCAGACAAGGCTCTGTTCATACGTTTCCCTGTAGCACCAACCATCCTTACAGCACTGGCCACTGCCTTCTGTACGGGAGCTGGAAGCCAAAACCAGAGTCCTTGCCACATGAGCCTCACATGTGCCTGGAGGGATCCAGAGCTGTGTCGCTGCGGGGAGATTTCTAAGGAGCTGCGTGTGCACTGAAGCCCACATGCAGCGCTGCCCTCGATACAACCTCCCCAATACTCTACGTATTTCAAACATACCCAACACCAGCGCAGAAGTCCTTGTGTCTTTTGCCTCAGTATTTTCTACAGGACATAGTGACGCAGATGCTTAATACAATCTGCTTTTTTAAAAATCTACTTTTCAGGCTGGGCATGGTGGCACATGACTGTAATCTTATCTACTTGGGAGGCTGAAGGAAAATCACTGGAACCTGGGAGGTGGAGGTTGCAGTGAGCCAAGATCGCGCCACTGCGCTCCAGCCTGGGCGACAGAGCAAGACTCCATCTCAAAAAAAAAAATCTGGTTATCAGAAGTACCCCGTTGCTGACAAGCAAATGCTCAGATACAGGGGTGGTGGGGACAGCCCTGCAGTTCAGGCGGTCTACCACTATTCCCAGGCCCATCTACTCTGTGAGCTCCCTTCCCGGTTAACCTATGCCTCTCTTTCCACGGTCCACTTCTATATTCATTTTGGATTTAACCTTTAAAATTTTTCCGGTGTGTCACAGGGCCCTTCCAAGGGGCACGTATGCCTCGTCCTCAGGCAGTCTATGTTATAATTTAAAACCTTTGGTTCATGTACAGGTAAGCCCCACAAGCAGCCTGTTAGAAATCTGAGAGAACTGCTGTTAATCTGGACAAATGAGGCCTCTGAAAAGCAGTAAGGTAACCAGCGTTTTCTCTCTCAGTCCTACTTACCTGCAGAAGCTTCTGGCCCACACTGTGACTCTGCGTGAAGTAGAGGGTGCATGGTGTTGTGTTTTGAGAATGTGGTAAGGACAGTGTACTTTACTGACTTTCCTCTCTGCCCCATCACAACAAGACTAAAAGCAAACGTGAGCTCCAATCTAAGAAGCAGAAGTGTGTGAATGTGAGGTGACAGGAACAGCTGTATACTCTCTTCAGCATATAACTTTTTGAAAACAATGGATGAAAGCTTCCTCCCCTAATAAATTTCAAATATCAATGACCTTGAAAATAAACTGGATGGTCACTTTTTAAAGTTAATGATCTTCTTAGCAATCAGACGTTTGCTGAAAAGGGTCGCTCTTTCATCTCTAAACATTAAGTTAGTACTGAGGCTTTCAGAACTATCACCTTATCCAATAATTTCTAAAAAATGGGATCTGATGGCAAATAAGTATCTTTACTTTACAGCTGGGAAATCTGAAGGGGTACCAGACCACAGCTGAAGCCGGGGCAGGGCTAGAAAAGTGACTCAACTTCTTTCAACGGCACTTTGTCTCCTGGTCTTCCTTCCTGTGGATCACAGTGGGCAGGCTGGACAACGTATCCGTTCATTTCACATGGGCTCCCCTAGCTAGACCCGCCATCTCTGCTGAAGTGAGGTCTCCCGGTGGATGAGATGCTTCCAACATCCAGCTCTTGGTGGCTCTTCCAGCAGCCCAGGCAGAGAAAAGCAGCAGCGGTGTGGCCTCAACTCCAGGATCTGGTCTCCCAAGGAAGCTCGTTCTGAGTCCTTCCATGTAAGATAGACTTGGTGTCACAGGCCCAATTCTCCCACAACCTCAGTCAAAGAGTAACACCTTTGCTCCAAAATTGCATCACCACGAAAACAAAACGCTGCAGTCTACTTGATATCATTTTTGCTCTGATTAAAATTTTTATTGAAATCTCTCAAAGGTCGTCAAGAAATAGTTTTTGCAAAAGGGGGGAAAAATAGCTAACAAACAAATTCAACATGGGAGCTCCCTCTGCTGGTCTGCAGTAGGTTGGTATGTTACAAACACATTCCCAGAGACAAATCTAATTTGCTGGAGAAGTGGACAAAAGACAGGTGTGTTGGGCTTTGCCTCAGGAGAGAAACACTAGAAGAAAAAAAAAATCCATGTCTCAAAATAGAGCATAACATTGCTAAGAAAAACAAAATTATTTAAAGACTCTCCAAAGACATTATAAGATTTCCAAAACAAAAACTGAATTATCCAATATGGGGAGATGCCCTGTAAAAGCTGCAGTCTGCTCTACCTCCAGTTAATAAAGATTCTCTTGGGCCCTCTGGGTGAAGGTTAAGTGCTGATTCCCTTGTCTTTGCCTCCAAGTCTCTTCTTACAGGCTTTCCATCTACTTAGAGAAGAAAGATCCAAGGAGTCACTGGAGTGAAGCCTTCCCAAAATTCCATTAAAGAATAAGTCTGTGGTGAGCCAGCACCTCGGAGTGGAAAGAGCCAGGCCTGGGAGTCAGGTGACCTGGGTCTAGTCATGGTAGAGCCACTTCAGATTGTGGGTAACTCCCTCCATCTTCTTAGGCCTGATTCCTCATCTGCAGAATGGGTCAGACCAGCTGATCTGTAAAGCCTCTACTAGTTCATTCTGATTCTCATATTGGACAAATAAATTTAAATGACCATATTTGTTCATAGAGTCCATAACTGCCCTGGGAATGACTCCAAACAAGAAGTGGCGTCGAACACTGGTATCAGATGAGAGTCCCAACAAATCTGGGACCAGTGTGGCAGAGCTAAGTGGATTCCAGTTTGGAAAAATCTCAAGACCAAGGAAGAAGTCCCAGGGGAGGGTGCCACAATGGGCAAGGCATCCCATTAAGTCAAGTGACTGAGTCCATCTAAACTCGGCACTGTCTCTCCCCGTCCTTCCTGACAATGGCATATGCTTTCTAATCTCTTGCGACTCTTTAGGCCCTTCTCTTAGCATATCATATCTCCAGAATTACTTCTGATTTTACCCATTACATCAATGAAGACTGGGCAGATGTCATGGCCAAAAGCCACCATTCCCAATACTTTCTGGCTGTTGTCAACTCTTGATTATCCAGGGTAATGGTGAAAGGCTTTGTTGGTGACCAACCAAAGCCATGGCTATTCAGAAGACTATGCAAACGTGCATTGTTTCATGATATTTATTAACATCTGCCTCGATTGCCACATGATCTGTACCTAGCAGTCTAGCAAGAGGAGAGACACCGTCCAGGGCAGGGGTGGGAGGTGGCAGGCAAAAGGGGCTCTAGTTGTCCCATGTCAACCACATATTTATCCACAGCCTGCTAACAAAGACCCTAATGACTCAGCAGAAGACCCCTCCAGGTTTACATGTTATCCCCTCTCCCCATTACCTGCCAGTTGTAACGGTTTCCAAGCACTGACACGGAAAAGGGAAGAAAAAGCAGCAGGGGAAGGAGAGAGCAAAGGCACAGATAATCCTGCTCCTTTATTTCTGGTCCCATGTACTCTTACCACCAGCACCTACACTTTTTTCTTCACTACTTATAGTACTTTCTCCCTTCTCCCGACACAAAGGGCAATCATTACTGGGGCCCAGGCGCCAAGGGCAGCCCCAGGAAGCTGGGTTGTCAATGCACACCCAACACGTTGGTAACTCAGCGAAAAGAATTAAAAGATGTTCAGCCAACAACAATCTTGACCCCATGGCTTTCAAGAACCCTTGCTGGGGGCTGTTTCTAGGTGGTCTTTCTCAAGACAGTGAGTTCTGTACAACAAAAAAGAGTTTTAAGTCAGAAGGAAGTTTTCTGGGAAGCTATTTATTTCATCCAGCCTTGTAAACAAACACTGAGCAAAACAAACGAAAACTCCACCTGTCCAGCCTAATCATTTTTAAAAATTTAAAATTTAAGGGCCGAATTACACATGCAGAAAGACAAATGAAACCTACATACGTACTTTCTATTTACTGGTTACTAGTCGTCAATCTTTGCAGACCAAAGAACAAGTGGTTATCTCCAAAGGTGAATCTTTACGTTGATTACTACTACTTGCACCCAAAGCGAAGAGAAATATTTTCTCCAAGGGGAGAGGAAGTGTTAGTACATAGACAGTAGTCTTTGTGGAGAAACAGGAAGTTTGTTTATAAAAATCAGGCTATTTTTAACTAAGAAAGAAAGCTGGTCAGAATAGAGATCTCTACCTTGACCTATAATTCCATCTTAGACACTGTATTATGCCTCCTTTTCTACAGGGTTTCCTCAAAATGGAGAAAAGGAACCCTTAATCTTTCCTGTAACATATTTAAGAAAGTACAGCCTTCCCCCGGAAGCTTTCCCTTTGGTCATAGATTATTCTTACAGTACAGCAGAGTGGAAACCTCTCAACACACAGAAACACGCACAGACGCACATAACTCCTGCTCCTAGCACAGACCTTTCTCTGTAGCCCTTCCACGCAAGGCACACACATATACACTCTGGTGATGCCCTCTAGCTAGCTGGGAGCCAGGTGGATAAACTTGCCCCAGTCTCTAATGTGCAATATGAGGTGAGATCATTAAGGAAGAGAGGTGTCACTTGGGGCAAACATCAGGCAGTGGGTGATATCATTGCTGTCAGACGATCCTCATAAGTCCTGAAGGAGTGTCAGCTTGATTTAGAGGGAATCATTAATCTCTCGAAGGTGGATCTGTTAGCTGGATAGGTGTTAGTTGTATGGTGTGCTCTGGGGAACCAGGTTTGAAAGGACTGGTGGTGGAGTGAGTGAAGTTGTGGCCGATGGGTATAAATTACCTGGGCATGCAGTGAAGCGGGATAGGTGAAAGCAGGAGGAGGTAGAGCAGGCGCTAACTCCGCTGGGTACAGAGGGTACGGGGCCCACACTTCAGGGCTACTGGGGTAAAGTGCAGGCACTGTGAGCTCATCTGCAAGAAAAGAATAAGGCAAGAGTTAGTGGTTACCAAACAGCTAGTTTCAAATCAGAAAACAAAACACCCAATAACCCCAAGCCCCAATCAATGTCAGAAGTCAAATTACTCTCATTCTTTTAACAACCTGTTGTTGGCTTTGGTCCCACAAATGCTAAGCAAAGGAACGAAAAACATAACATAAGAAAAGCAACAAGCATCTGCTGCCTATCTGGCCTGCTGAGATCTCAGGCTTGGACTCTGTCTTGGACACTCTGATGTCTTTCCAGCTGTAGCTGGGGAACCCAAGAACAGTGGGAATTTCCTGCACAAAACAGAAAATGTGGCTCTCTGAGGAAAAGGGAGAGAAAGAACTAATAAAGGATATCCCATAAGAACCCACTGCAGAGCTGCTGGGAAAACAATGGCTTAACGGCAGGGCCTCAACAAACCAGAACTGGAAGGCTTTTCTGTTTAGTGGCATAATTACTATTGACAAGTCAGGTATGATCATCAAGCATTTTCCATTTAGCCCTCAGAAGAACAGGGCCAAATACTGTGACCATGGAGCATTTAAGATTTTAAAAATTCAGAGTTAAGTGAAAGACCTGAGAATCCTGACTAAAACTAAACTCCACAAAGATGTAAAACGGAACATTTCCAGTTGCTCTTCAGACTAACTTTTATGGGAAAAAAATGAGTCATGTTGCCAAGCGCCTGGTCTAAGTGTTCTTCAGGCAGCCCTAATTCCACTCAGGTCAGGCTGCAGTTGGCCAGATTGAAGGGCAAGTGCCTGGGCCTCCGAAGCAATCCATTAGAAGTAACAGCAAACACCATGAGGGAGCTTCTCAGGAAAGGCAAAATAACATCAGTCAATAAAGCAAGGAATCTGGGCCCTGTGAAGCAGCAATCTCAATATGTGCTTTTATCACCTGTCAAAATCTGAAATCAAGTTTGCCAAGGACGTTATCCAGGACTGCCGTGCGAGTCAGCAAAAGGTGATTGGATAAAGTCATTAGTAACTCTGCCTTTGAGGACTTTCCTTAAGTTTACAGTGCATGTGATCCAAGGTCAACAGAGTCACTTTATTCCTTCCCACCATCTAAGCAGTCATTGTCCAGACCCAGTGTCTCAGCATCCTTCCCATTCCCCCAAAGTCTTCAATACAGAAAGAGAGCTAGCAAAAGAAAACTGCATTGCTTGGTGTGCTGTGGGACTGCTCTATGGAGAAACCAGAAAGTAGCAGAGACTGCGGGTAAATGCGGATCTGGTGGGCTAGGGGTAGGTGAGGCTTCCCCACAGCCGGCTTGCAAGGTACGAGCTTCTCTCAGGATGGCAGGGAGTCAAGAGCTGACTGATGATCTGTTCAGAGGGTAGCTTGTACCCATTCCCAGATATGATGGGACCCAACAATGTGGTTTAACATACTGCTGCTGGTTGACCTTCCTTACTCCCTCCTTCTCTGAGGCAGTAAAAGGTACCTCCTCAGGCCTTGGTAATGGAAAAACAGACTGCCTGTGTATCTAGGTGGGAGAGATGAGCCCCTAAGAGTAGACTGATCATTATTATTTAGTCAGGGTAACAACAGTATCACCAGAGTCCTTAAAATGATCAGATTCACAACGTCTACTTCAAGTTCTGGGGTACGCAGGTGCCTGTAGCCCAAGGCTTAGGGACCCCTCTCAGAGGGGCTGGGAGGAGCTTAATAGATCCCTGTGCTTCCTCTTGTGATGAGACTGTGTGATTTCCAGAGTGCTCATCTGGGAGACCAGCTAGTGGAAACTAACTGCTGCCAGAACCGATGCCTTGAATTTTAAACAAACAACCATTCTCAGGAATGCCAAGCTATTATGGTTGCTGTTATTTTAGCTTCCAGGCTATTTTAAGACATTCTGAGCCTTTTAAAAATGTCAAGCCTCAGTACACTCATCTGCAGCCCATGCTTGTCTGTTCCCACTGTGATAGCAGAAGACTATAAAACTGATCCATACAACTGATTCCAACTGAGAACCCTCAGAGGGAACACGCTTGGCCTGCAGCCTGTCAGTGGTCCTTCCTCATCTTCCTGCCTCACGGGAACTGGTTAACTGGGGCAGGGTGGGTAGAGATGGTTACCTGACCAGTGGTTCCTTCCTTTAGAAACTTTTAAAAATGAAATGAATATGCCCTTTAAGATATCTGCTCCTGAAGAGATAAGCAACAGAGATAAGCTGGAATCAGATTTCAATGTTAGCCTGACTGACGGAATTTATGATTTCCAGAACGTTCTCTATTTTTATCCTGAAGCATTACTTTCCCTTAGTTCTTTACTGATGCTTTGAGACAATTCACCATTAACATTTGCATAAAACCTAGCCCCAGAGAAAAGAGGATTTGCTCTGAAATTCCCTAAACTCAAAATTTCTTAGTAAAGTAGGTAGTAAGGCAGAGGCCTAGAAGAGATTAAGGCGAACTTACACTTGATAAATCCCTTGATACATCTTCTCTCTCTCCCTCCCTTCTCCCCTCATGAAGGAATGTGGAGTTACCATAAATGTCAAAAGACATGTGGTCTGACCAGGTCAGGATCACACCTGAAGCAGTCCTCACAGACACCTACCTTTTCAGTATGAGCCTGAGCACTCGCCTAACACACACACATGCCCCTTTGACGGAAAGGGGTATTAAAGCAGAATAAGCTTTTACCGTTTGTTTGCTTTTTCGTTCCTTGAGAAAATTACAAAAGCTAGAGAGGCAGGTTTCCACAGAGTGATCCCTTCACAAGGACTCCCACTGAAGGAGCAGGCAAGGCCCTGATGGGTTTCACCTTCCTGAGTCACTGTCCATCCTGCTCAAACTTTGTAGGATGGAAGGCTGAAAAAAGAAGACAAAGATTGCTGCTCAAGGCCCACTGGGATGAATTGGAGTTTAGGGAGGGGATGAGAATCCTCTTGACAAAAGAAGCTCTTGACCACCCAGAGTGAGCCAGGCCCCAGTGAGCAGAAAGAGGGTAGATCAAGAGGCCAGGGCTTTTTTTGTCTGAGTTTAATCCGTCCCTCCTGAGAGGCTGGGCAAATCCTTTCCCATTGCACCAATCTGGCTATATCTTTTCTTTTTTACACCTTCTGAGGATAATGTTGTTGAAGGCTCACAATATACATCTGAATAGGCTTTTTTTCTTAGCATGAGAATATGCAACCAGAAGAGCTCAAATTGGATTCTGAAAAACGAGGACTAGAAACTTCCAACCCCAACCTGTAATCCCTTTGAAAAGAAAAAACTGTGAGCTTCTGATGAAGGTTTAAGCCTACAGAGCTTGGGAAGATCACCTAGTCTGCCCTTTTGCTTTAGATGAGGAAACAGATGCAGAAAGGTGAAGCTTCCAGTCTGTAGTCACACTGAGAGAGAGAACCAAAAATGACTGTTAGAGACAACTGAGAGATGGAAGAACAAGGAGAACATTTAATGGTTAAATATGGCCATATATCTCTGAGTTTAGTTGGTAACACAAGGTTTTTCTGCCTCCTGAAAATGTCGATTTGGAAATATTCCACAGCAACCTCATGTTCAACATACCGAAAACTAAATATGCTCCCTCCAATGACCTGTCCTTGTTGGCTCCAGATTTCAATAAGATGCTACCTTCCACTCAGCTGCTGAAGCCACAAACCTGGTGGTCACCCCATTCTCCCTCTCATTTAATCTTTCATCAAGGTCCTGCTGAATCTATCCCATGATCCAGTTTGATCTTCACCACCACTACTGGATTACTGAAAAGGCCTCCTTAAAGGCCTTCCACACTGAAGTCAAGACAACTTTAAAAATACACAGTTTGGCCGCATGTAGTGGCTTACACCTGTAATACCAGTGCTTTGGGAGGCAGAGGCAGGAGGAGAAAGATCGCTTGAGGCCAGAATTTGAGACCAGCCTGGGCAACATAGCGAGACCCTAATAAAAAAATATTCACCAGGCCTGGTGGTGCATGCCTTTTCTCCCAACTACTGAGGAGGCTAAAGTGGGAGGCTCACTTGAACCTAGGACTTACTTGAGGTTGCAGTGAGCTGTGATTATGCCACTGCACTCCAGCCAGGGCAGCAGAGTATGACCCTGTCTCTAATTCAGTCATGTCACTCCCACTTAAAACCCTTGTATGATTTCCTCTTGCTCTGTGGATACTGTCTAAACTCCATGTAATGGCCTGTAAGACCCCAAATGATCTGGCCCTCATCCACCTCTCCAGCCCCGATTCTACCTCATGGCCTGGGATCAGTCACTTCCAAGGCATGACTATGCCTGCTTCTCCCCTACACACTGCCCTCTCCCCCAGGGGCACTCTTCTCCCCTCCTTTCGCCTGAATTCCCTCTTGCTCTTCAGTTACTTACTCCTTCCACCCAGCTTAACTCTTGAGAGTACTCCACTTAGATGCCACTTCTAGTCTAGAAGATTGCTTTCTCTGTGCTCCACCACATCCTGCACCTCCCCAGACATAGCAGTTACCTCCTGGACGGTAAGCTCTTATTCTTGCTCACCAGTGCCTACCATCATATTATAAGACAGTATCAAGAAATCAACCATTTGGGCATGAGAATCACTTGAACCTGGGAGATTCAAGCGAATGAACCTTGAACCAGGACATTTCAGTGAGCCGAGACCGCACCACTGCACTCCAGCCTGTGCAATGAAGCGAGACTCTTATGCTAAAAATCAACCACTTGCTTTATATTTAAGAAAATGAATGAAGAAAAATACTTCCATCCTGCCTTCAGGTGAAGAAATAGCCAGACTGAGGGTTAATTCAATTCTGGGTGGGAGAGGTCTCTTGTCTCACAGTTCAGGTCCCTTCTATACACCATCCTTTCCTCCCTGGGATGGGTGATGCCCCGACTGTTGCTGGTGGTGACAGGGCCTGGAATGCAGGTGGTCTTTAGGTCTGGCTTTTAGCATACTCAATTTGCTATAAGCTCCGGGACAGAGTCTTCTAGTAGAGCTTGCCGTGTAGATGAAGAATTTGGCCAGGAAAAACAGCAGCCATGACACA